AGTGTGGAGAGAGAAATTAAATCCCAAGTTTATCCAGGAATCCTACAGGATAAAGTCACAAGCTGAAGCTCAGAACAAGCTGGGTGATGCAGCAGGACAATGACCCTAAACAAAAAAGTAAATCTACTACAGAATGGCTTCCAAGACACAAAATCTGCCTTTTGGAGCAGCACAGTCAGAGCCTAGACCTCAAAATAAAGATGCTCTGGAATGACCTCAAGACGTTCACACCAGCCATTCTAAGAATATGGCTGAGCTGAAGCAGTTCTGTGGGAAGAATAGTCCAAAATTCCTCCTGAGCATTGTATAGGTCCAATTCACAGTTACAGGAAGTGCTTGCTGGAGGTTGTTGGTGCCAAAAGAAGTTCAACCAGTTATAAAACACTGTTACCATTACTTTTTTCCACCATCACTTTGCATGCTTAATGGGTGTGCTCATTAAAAAAATGAAAGATTGTTTGTGTTTTATCAGCTTAGAAATATTGTGTTTGCTGATATTTGTGACTTTGGTGAGGATCAGATCATGACCAATTTCATGACCAATTTATGCAGAAAACCAGGAAATTGCAAACAGTGCCAATACTTTTCCTTGCAACTGGCCAATATGATTATTATTCCTTTCATGGAGAAATATGTGTCGTGGCTAGAGTGTGATGCCGACTAAATTAATTCAGACAAACCATCCCAATTTTAAGGATCATTTAATATTGCAATTATTCTGAATAGAGTAATATTTAAACAGATAATCTTGTAGTTAGGGAAACAGAGAACAGAGACTCTCCTCCTGCAATGTGATAGATAAAGCATTAAATAAGAAGATTGTCAAAAGCGTCAGTCCAGTCAGTTGTTGTTGGTCACGAGTCAGTCTTTCTGTCAACCCACAGTCTCCCCCCAGCCGGGTCCCCAAAAAGTACACGGTTTACTGTCCCAATAGCATTCTCTCTCCCTTTTCTCCCCTTCTTCTGCTCTAACCCAGCTTTATATCTGCTCGCCCTTACACAGCCCTCCATGGCCTGAGCCATGAAGATGAGGTCCCATGCCAGCTACCCACACACACCTTCTTCCGAGCATTGTCTAAAAATGTCCAGTACATGAACTTCTAGGTTGCATTGACCTAGCGCACATTTCCTTTTTCTAAACCTGAACAGAGCACACGACCAGTTCACATAAGACCCATAGGTTAAACAAGGGGGACCCAGCCCAAGATATTCTTGCTCAGCCTTACATCCTTTACACAACTATTACAAATAATATCTAAATATGAACTACATACTGTTCTATTACATATTACCTCTGGAACCTTGTTTATTTTCAACCACTACATATGGTACTGCATGTTGAAAGTATAAAGCATATTTTTCTAATCACCTAAGAAAACATACACGACCCATTTTACAGTAGCTATATATCATTTATACAGATCTTTTACATATGAATGTTTAGGGTAGTCACCCCAACCCTCCCAAATGTGCCACCTCCACGGCACCCCTCAGTTGAAACATGTTCCCACAGCTATCAGTTTTGATACACAAAGAATGGATGTGCAACTTAGCCATAACTTTGACATCCACTGACTACAGAGCAAAATTAGGTCAATTATTATTGTATTTCCTTGAGGGTTTCTGCAGGTTTTCCCTACCACAGGACTTGGGCACAGTGCCTAAAAATTGTTGCATAACATCAACCAGCTGAAGTGAAACATCGATATTCCATTTCTACCCAATTCTCTGTTCAGTTCATGGATCAGTAATTTTATAAATGCTATTATTCACAATTTGTACTGTCAACTAACCAGTCGTTTTACTTTATTTTGTTTTGCACTAATTACAATGAGGCTAAAAGCAGAGGTGGGGGACTTGAGTCAAAGGACTTGACTCGAGTCAGACTTAAGTAACAAATTTGAGGACTTGCTTGACTAATGCTGGTATAGGATTCAACTTGACTTTGACTTGGTGTTCATGATTTTAGACTTGACTTAGACTTCAGACACAGGACTTGAAATCACTTCACTTTTTTAAATGAGATATTTGTATTTTTCTAGATATTGAGAAATTATGTTTTGTTTTTGAAACACAATTTAGTGACTTATAGTGTGATGCACCCAAACCTGACAACCTACCAGAATGCGGCTACACCTGCTTTGAAATAGTTTCTGCATGTATTAGTTCGGTTCAGATTAATCTCGTAGCCCAGAAAATCTGTTTTGTGACATTTTAAATTTTGTATTAAACTTTTTAAACTTAGTCCAATTCTCCTGCTGTCTTCTTCAAACACCTCACCCAGGTTCAGGTCTCCCACAGGGAGAAAAGTAAAAGACCCCTTCCACTATATTGTGATCAGGTTTTGGTGTTGCAGTATTTGTCTCTACTCAGCAGGGAGATATTGCAGATACACACACCCCAAAAGACAGAGTGTTTACCATACTGTGTGGGACTGGCTTATAGAGGTTATACATTGAGAGTGATCTGTTAGGAGCTGCTTGACCGTGGCAGGGTGGTTCCGGCCCAATTCTGACAGATCAGCTCGTTAAGGGAATGAGGTAGAGACCCCATAGTCCAGCAGGCAGCCACTTTTAGGGCATTAAGGGATTGTCGCTCCTCACGATTGATTCTCTGAGCCTACTATGATCAGCAAGATCCCAGCATGAGTAAAGTTGCATTAGAGGGTGTTAAAGAGTCTCACATTTATATGTAATATTCATATGCTGGTGGGGCAAGTAACAAATAACAATGTAAGCACTCACAGTGAGCCCATTCAAACAGAAACAACAGAAAAAAAAAACAGTTTTCTTACCACGGTTCCTCTCTCATCTGCTGTAATTGTCTCCTCACACTTTGTTACAGAAGCCTACACATTGCAGAAGCGGTCAAACCTGTATGGTGAATTACGGGAAGCTTCATCAAATAGGGGACAAACAGGGACACACACTGTGTTGGCAGTGGCCAAACACATTTAATTACTTCCTCATTTCTTTGTACAGTCTTATGTGAAACAGAGATCCTCTTCTGAGAAAAAGTATTAATAAATTACCAAATAACAACAATTTATACTGTGTGTGTGTGTGTGTGTGTGTGTGTGTGTGTGTGAGAGAGAGAGAGAGAGAGAGAGAGAGAGAAAATATTTTATATTTTTCCTAACTTTGCAGGACGCTATTCTTAGACAGTAGCATTATTCTATATCCAAAATCTTAAAATCGGCTAATTAAAAGCAGTGCTAAGTGAACAGGTAACATGTTAAAATACAGTGTTCAACAATGTGAGTAAATGTGAGTAGTTACTAAGTAAAGAGTGGAGAATGAATCAGGAATATCAATGAACCATTAATGAGTACAGTAGTTCCTGAATAACTCTGAGTCAAGCAACACAGTCACTGACATAATGCATCCCCTAGCCCCTAACCCTAACACTTAACCATCTGAACTCAATGCCTAACCCTAACCTAACCCAATTCTAACCTGAACCCTAAAACCAAGTCTTAATTCTGATACAGCTGTTTCAGCAAGTGAGGACTGGCCAAAATGTCCTAATTTTCCAAAAATGTCCTCATTCTGTAGCAAAAAAAAAAACAAACTTTTTTGGTCCTCACTCTGTAGCCAGAACACACACACACACACTAAGAATCACTGAATGAAAGTGCAGGGAGAACTCCTGGCTCAGGATAACCACAACTCTGCTGCTCACATACTAATAAACCAAGACCTATTCCTACTTGCTTCATTTTAGTGCTGGTTTATTTAAAAAAGCCACAAATAAAAGTTACAGAAACACAACCCGGGTGGCTCCCTCCCTCAGACAAGCTGCTGGAGAAGAGAGACCCCTGAAACACAGAGCCTAATACATTTATAAGGTTTTGGGCTAACCCCTTACACAGACAGGTGTAAAAACATCACGAGTTGGAGACAGTCCGACGTCTCTTTCTCTTATCTTATGCTCCACATGCATCGAGCACTAGTCATAACAAAGTGAAGAATTTCGTGTGTGTTGTTATGTGGTGCGTAACTAAAACATACAATCAGACATAATTCTTACACAAGTTTAATACAAGATTAATACAAGAAAACACCTGGTGCCATTAGGATCACAAACTATTGAAGGTTGCACCCCTGTCCAGGGCAGAGCAGCCCAAGAAGATAAAATGTATTGTAAAAACTTAATTCGGGGTTCAGAGGATGGAACTCCGGTGGGAGCTCTGTCCCTCTGATCCCAGCACTGTACGGCCTACCTGTGCTCAGACTTTCAGTAAACTTTCTGTTGATTTTAAACAGCCCTCTTCTGTCTTCACTTCTCGTGCTTCCAACAAAAGAATTGGGTTAATTTCTAACATACTGCAGGTCTGACAGGAGAACTAAAGACAAGTAAAGTCATAATAAACTACCTCAGCAAACCAGTTAAAGTAAAAAATAACTAATCAAAACAAAATACTGGCATAGCAATGTACTACATTTCGCCTAAAGCCTATAATCAGGCAACTTTTCAGTCAAAAATCTCTCCCCCCTGCTATTGTCTTGTCAGAGCCAGCACGAGCAGGCAAAGCATAAATACCCACTGTGCTCACAGCATGAGAAACACCAGCAGTCCGATGTGCTTTTTCTTCTCAAAAACAATGTTTAAATAACATTTGTTTGAAGAAAATGTTTGCAAAAACCCAACCAATTTATGGTTTTCCAAATACTATATTTGCATTTGGCTCCACCCCTACAAGAGACTGAAGCCCATGGAATATTGTATCATTCACAGTTTAGGGGCTAAGGATATAAAGTTGACTGTGTTTATGCAAAACGCACTGAGCATTTGGGTAAAGTAACTTTATTTATATAGCATGTTTCATACACAGAGGGAATTAAAAGGGCTTTACAGAGGCAAGGATAAACTGTAACAGAATTAAAAACAATAATCATAGTTATAATAAAACAGCGATTTCTTCTTGATGATCTCACTTAAAAACTATTTTTGTCCATATACCTGTTTTTCATCAGCCTGTATTAGACCTTTTGTCCCGCTCTGACAACTTTAAACACTCAGAACGCGCCGCCCACATTATATTACACATCAATCACTGGATCAACCACATCTCAAAATACATCTCAATAGATAGAATGACAAGTTCCCACCAAGACAATATAGATATAAGCCTTTGATGACAGTGGCACCCATTTTGTCTCCAACATTTAATTTCTCCTCCGAGCCATTTTCATCCTGATTTCAAAGTAACCATGTTTGTTTACCCAATACTTAGATTATCATCCCAACTTTAACTTGTCATACAAAACCTTGTTTCTAATTATGTACTTAAACATTTTATATTACCTGTCAGATCTTATGAATCATTAATGAAAAGAATTTTATGTAAACGGATTGTTGCAGGTTCAGGTGCTCATTAACAACTCAGATGTTCCCGCTGCTTGAATTTGTGCCTTGTGAAACATGGTAGGTGTCTGAAAGAAAAACAACAACTGATGATAAGACAGCTGATTCAAGTAAGCAGCTTTATGTAAAAGAACTTACCTCTTCTTCTTTGTAATCGTCTTATCAGATTTATTCCACTTCCAGCACTTGTACTCTAGAGGAAAAACAAATGAGTATGTGGAAGTTTTATTTTGTCACTGACCTTTAATGTAATTATTTCTGTAACCTTGAACAGGTATGTAGATTCAAGTACAGGTAGGGTGCATTGATGTACAAAGAAAATCTGACAGCTTTTTTTTAATGACATGTGACAGTTTTAGGATATATATAAATCACTTACACTTAGAGCCAATGCTTGGTATGGATAATCTCTGTGAGAGGACAGAACGGATCTACAGGCACAATCAAATTCAAGTTAATGTCAGAATCAACTACTGGGCAATTTGGAAAATATTTAGTAAGACTGACATTTGAAAAAAAATAACATATTGGGAATTATTTTTCTAGGGTCAGATGAGAATTATGTGTTTGTAGGTATATTTCTGAACTCTGGACAGAATTAATTTTTAAATACTTTTCTTTAACAAAAGTTTTAAACTGGGTAATAAAGCTAAAAGTCCTAATAAGCAACATAATGAATGTTATATATACCTGTAAACTTTTTACTCAAAAGAATATATTTAGATGTAACCCCTTTGTAATTACTGAATGTAATTTAATTACATATTTTTTGTCATGAACTGTAACTGATTACACTAACATTTATTTTGTCATGTAATTACAGTAATAAATTAGTAAAATATTTGAATAAGAAAGGATGGGCACTTAATCACTGAATATAATCTAAATACTTATTTTTCTCAGTAACTGATTAGTTACATTTATTATGTAATTTAATTATAATAACTAGTTACT